ATAATATTAGTTTGAGATTCGCTTATTATGAAGTCCTCAGAATATAAAAGAAAGCCAGCAGAAATACAAGCTTATTCACTATGCCTTATCAGTATAACTTGGCAGTGCTTGGTTAGACCAACTTTAGGATTAACACGATGATGATTAGGTCTTTGAGGCTGACTCATACCTTGTCTATTCAGCTGAGACTACTAATCTGTTTCATCTAGTGGCAAGTGAAAGATTTTAGTGGTATGCATTTGGCACACCACAGAATTAAACCCCTTTGACATGACACATTTGTAAATATTTGGATTTTTCTTGGTGTTTCTCTAGAAAGGGTCTTCCAATATGGCTGCAGATGTGAATTTACAGCCCATTAGGTTTTCCACACTAACTTCTTATATGGATATTCTTTGTAGGTGCTTATAATACCTTTATGCAACATAATGCAATACGTTGCATGGTTTGCATGGTATGTCTGCATGGTAAACCTACTGGGTGCATCTACACAAGAGGTTTACAGCAGAGTTGCCTCAGAAGCTCCACTGTAAAGTCTTAGCATCCACACATGCAGTCCTATTAGGCCACAGTAAACTAATAAACTCTGCCATAGGTTAGTACTTGTAAACACAAGTACTGTCCTATGCCAGTATTCTTTAGTGCACAGCAACACACGTGTAAATGTTGACGGGGCTGGCTGGGGCATGAAGGTGCTTCAGTGTAGAAGCTGCCAACCAGCTATCCCCACAGTGGAGCATCCTTATATCCCATGCAGCCCCTCTGCCTTATGTTGAGCTGGGTCAGAGCAGCCCTGGGCTCCCTGCCACCCAGGGCTGCTCAAAGCCAGCTCACTGTGCTGCAGTCCCAGGTTCACATGTAAACATGGTGTCTGGGAGCAAAAAACCTCAATGTAATATGCACCAGAGTTTATTGCTCTGCATTAATTTCACATGTAGGTGTGCCTACTATGCCTGGAAACAATATCTTCAGGCATGCCACACTGCTTCAATGGGGTGACTCTGAAACCAGAAGCAGTGAGGCTATCTCCCAACAGTGCCATGGGCAGGCTGATTAGACCTGTCTTTCAGCTGTGCCGGGTGAATGTGGCTACAATGTTGCTGGTTTAGGAGGCAACCAGTCTGGAGCAATCCAACTAGATACCGTGTTTCCCACATAAACATGAAATCAGGACTTATAGTAGAGATGATATTTTTTATTAGACCAACAAGATTTTTGCAAAAAAAAAAAAAGGCACTGGACAATGTGTATCTGGTGATTTTGTGCAGAATAGAGATGGAAATTCATGCCTTAGCTTCCTAATGGTGACTATGATATGCCCTATAATTACATAGGTAGAAAATTAGATAAAGCTCCAAAACTTTGTGGTCAGTAGTAAAACTGCAAAAAACATCATAAATAATTTTTCTAAAGAAATTTGATTAGAGTCAACTGATTATATGTTAATGGAATTTAGTACTTTAAAACCATAATGAATTACTTTTACTGAGAAAGAAATGTTGTTATTCAAAATAAAATAGAAAAAAGAAATAAAGCTTAAAAATTAAAAATATATTTACAAGAGAAGTCTTTTGAGGAAAGGAGGATGGGTGTAAAGATGTAAAACCAGTCTCAACAAGTTTTTCTGCGCACAGTGGTCCCTCACACACCTTCATAGAGCTCTTTTGAAATCTGAGGGCCCCTGTACACATACAGGTAAAGGTGCAATGGGATCTAGTGCATGATCCACACAATGGTCTGTTATGCCATGCAACACATGTATGAAAGAAGGTGCGACTGTGGGATCACACATCTGATCCCATCACACCTTATTGCTGGTGCATTGGCAAGAAGCAGCCTTCTGTGGCTGACAGGGCTCCCAGCTGCCAGGGTGCCCCACACACCCGGGAGATTACAATAGTTGCAGACTCCCATGCTCAGGGATGCATGGGGCACCCATGCAGTTGGGAGATTGTAGAAGATGCGGTCTTCCATCTGTGGGGGGATGTGGGACCCCCTGTGGTGGAGAGCCCTCTCAGTTAGGAGTCCCCAGATTCAGGGGTGCAGATGGGTCTCCCCTAGCTGGGAACACTGATCAGTTTACAAGGCTACCATTCCTATAAGCCCCTGTCCACACATTTAATTAATGGTCTGATAAGAAGCAGCTACAAATTTATTACTCATGTTTTCTGGAATAACTGAGCACACCTATATGTGCAATTAACATGCACAAATAAAGTCCAGGGCTCTGGAGTTTTTTGCTCCTGGGCATGCTATTTGAATGTGTGCCCATGAGGAAAAAAAACCTCTGGAGTATATTGTTCCAGAGATTTTTCGTGAGCAGCACATTGAATCCAGTTGGAATGTCCCCGGCTGACAGCAGCCCAGGGCTGCTCTGACTGGGTTCAGTGTGCTGCTGAGGGTCTGCCTAGGGTATGAGTGTGCTTAAGTACAGGGCTAGCCAGCAGGCAGCCCTCATACCCCAGCCAGCTGGGCAGTGTCTACATGTATGCTGCTATGCACAAAAAAACCTCTGGAGCAATAATACTTGTATTTACAAATACTAGCCTGCTTTATCAGTTGGTGTGCGC